CCTTAACAATCGGAAGAGGCTTTTGGTGTATAGAGGCGTGTATTGTAGTATTGTGGCACATGTATGATGAACGGCCCTACGGAATAGCATTGGAAATTACATCAGGCTTCCATGTTACGTGCCTCTTCCGTGACATGCTACTGCCTGCCTCGCTTCGAGGAGCTCTCTCCGGCATGCAGAGGCTTTATGGACTCATGGGGGTTCAGCCCTTGGGGTTGACATAGGGTCTGAGGTTGCGCACATGTTTCGTGCCTGGTGCCAGCTCTGGCGTGTACTCCATGCCCGCTCCCACTGGCCCGAATGAGCTACCACGGCGAAAACACAGGTGTAGGTTGCCCAAAAAAGCTCCCAGCTCCGTAGCGAAGCCCACCTCCATGTTCGGGGACACGGCAGCCACGGCATAGGCCAGGACAATGCCCACCTCTTCTGTTGCTGGTGCACAGGGGGGACCCACACACATGAAAGCACAAGGGTGCGATTTCGCCTCAACTGCAGAGTTCTAAGCCTCCAACCCAACTCCGGCTCTAAACTGTCGACCCGACGAAACCCCAGCCTCCAGACCCCGACCTCCAAAACAAACCCTACATGCCCTCTCCGCGCCATGGCAGTGAGGAAGTAGGCCGCAGTGAAAATCCTCGCTTGCTCTTCGGGCTATCAACTTCGAGTTGGGTTGATTCACCGTGTGCTTAAAGGCCTCAAAAGGTGCAAAAGTCCTTGAAGGGTTCTATGAGAATTGGACGAGGGTTTATGGCTTTTCGGTTTCGGCTTCTTGTGGTCTTCGGACCTGAACCCTAAACCCTTTTCAGCACCCGAAACCCTAAATCTTAAACCCTATAAATCCTAAACCCCTAAACCCTAAACCAAGGCTTTAAGTGATGTTGCAGCCGTGAGGCGCCAGGCTTCCCTGCAGGTCCATGGCGTAGAAGACGGAGATCGTGAAGACCAGGCTCGTGAGTACGCACAGCACTGCCTCACAAAACCACCAAAAGTTAGGATGCTTAGGGTTCATAAGGTTTAGAGTTTATGATATAGGGTTTAATTTATATATATATATATATAATATAAGGCATACAGTTTATGATATAGGGTTTAATTATTGCATAGGGTTTGCGGGTCTAGGGTGTAGTGTAGAGGGTTTAGGTTTCGACTCACGCACCCGCACTGGGCAGACACGGCTTCATGCTGAATGTCCCACGCTTAGGGCTCAGGGTTTGTAGTTTAAATCAAGTTTAAGTTTCGGGGTTCAGGGTATAGGGCTTAGACACAGAGATGACCATCATGATCTTCACGCTGAAGATGCACCTTTCCCGGAAAGCCGCGTTTGCACACAGCTCTGCCTACAAGAAGGTGTTCATGAAAAAAAGGCGCACAAAAAACAAGCCAGGAATGTAGCAGGGCACGCTCGGGCCACTGTCAGGTCGCTAGGTTCGGTATGAACTACGATGAACTACGGTCTGAGGCCCCTCGTGTTGAGGGGGAACCAGCCGAGGACGTACGTGAGGGTGGCCGCTCCGCCTCCTCAATGAACTTGTAGACGTAGTATGTCAGGCCGGTGTAAAGACCTCAGTCACGACTCAAAGAGTAATGTAGGGCATGAAAAATTACCTAGATTATTTGGGCGGTTCCCTATTATAATTAAAGTACAATGGGCCCCGAAACCCTACTCGAAGGATCAAGGCCCCTACAGTACAATGAGCCCGCCTCGACTTCAACCTGAAGTCATGCAGATAGCTCTAGGGACTTCCCTCGTGTGTTGAGGGTTTAGGGTTTAGGGTTTAGGGTTTAGGGCTCAGCCGTGAACTCCATAGAACATTTCAGTGCAGACTTGGCTAACACAGAAGCCTGACTGAGTAGTCTAAGCATTCTTCCTTAGTGCTCCTTTTTGGTTAAACTGTACCTCAGAGCATACCACCACTGCTTCCCTGTTGGGGCGATATTAAAGATGATCATGTTAATCCCTCTTGGGTTGTATTATAACAAAAATGTAAAATTGTATTCAATAAAGACCCAGACCAAGCCCTCTTCTAGCCATCAAGGTTCATTAAGGCCCCCCTAAACCCTAAACCCTAAACCCTAAACCCTAAACCCCAAACCATTAGAGGCACCGCTAGTCCAACAGTTTCTTGGATCCTCCACACTCGTGTTCATGGGTTTAGGGTTTAGGGTTTAGGGTTTAGGGTTTCTAATGTAGGAGCCTAGATATTTACCAATACTATTCTGGGGGGAGCTATTATTATAGTCAAAAAACCCAAACACCCTGTTTTTACTGAGTAAGGCCCTTGAATTAACCCTAAAACCGTTTGGGGCGAGCTGCCGTCTGCACGCTCTCGGTAGAATAGGGCTCGCTCCAGCGTCCTAGGCCAACAGGTGACAACCCAAACGAGAAAAACATCTGGTGTTCAGGTTGTAGGCTTGAGGTGTTTCGTTCAGGGCTCAGGTTTTCGCGATCCGAAATCCTCATTCGCCTGCATGAGGCTTCGTTTGAAATCCGCCAGCGTCTGCATTTCAGAGCATCGCCGATTCGCCTGTATACATCGAAATTAACCTGAAACCAGGCGACAGACCATCGGAAAACCACATCATGCATCAGAGAGTGTGCTAGAGTGTTGAAGCCCCAGTGACAAAGAAGGGACATAGGCCGCAGCTCCATAGCCGCAAAGGGCGCACACGAAAAACAGCAGCGCAGCGGTTGATTGAATGCTCTGGGCCTTGCAGCGAAGGTCGGCAAGAAGCTTGCATGCTTATGCTGGGCTGTTCAGGGCACTGAAACTTGGGGTTTTCAATTCCTGCATATTGATTTTTTTGTAGCTTTAATGTTGACGTCTCTCGAGAAGAAGTAGGGTTTCAGCACCCCCATCATATGACCAAATACATACATACATACATACATACACACACACACACACACCAAGACTAATACCCCCAACATACTCATCACCAAAATTCAGTTCTCAGCTCCTTCTGCAGTGACTCGAGATCATGGATCCCGAGATCTCCAAGCCCCGCAACACCCAAACTGACGCTGAACCACGAAATTCCTGAGTCCGTCTATTTGAGGGCTAGGGCGGATTTAAGGCTTAGGGTTTCGGGTCTACCTCCAAGCCCTAAAACCTCACGCCCAAAAACCCAACACCTCGAACTCGACACTTTCTCAGCGCTGAAACCCTACGAGTCTTCATTGAGCCGCAAACTGCCTAAACCCTAATTCGGTCTCCCAAGTTTCACTCCTCGCTTTTATCCTAAACCCCAAAAGCTTCCCCTCATTCCTCTGCAAGTGCCAGGGGCTCCACACTCCCCGTCAAGCCACCAGCTAACAGCTAACACCAATGCGAGACACGAGAAAAGATTTCAGAAAAGCAAAGCCGCTTGCCTGCCTAGCTAAACCCGGTGAGGCCAGGGTTTGGGGTTAAGGCATTATAAGGACTTGGCTGGGGTTCAAGGAGGGGGGTCTGAATGTCAATACCACGGCTGGGAAGCCCCGCATCGGTCTTGCTGCCAATGCCCCAGTAGAGGGACCTGGGCTTCCCATATTTGTGGGTGCTAATTTAGGGTTTAGGGTTTAGGGTTTAGGGTATTTGTGGGTGCTAAAAAGAGGACATCTCTCTATTCAGGGGCCCTTATAAGAGGACACGATTGTCCAGGGACTTTATAAAGAGGATACTACTCCTTATGGGGTGCAAACTTGGGACAATGCTGAAGACAATCCGGGGCATTTTTTGTGGGGGACCCTGCTCCTGCGAACCCTTCTTTGACCCTGAACCCTAAACCCTTCTTTGCGATAAGTATATGTGTTCATAAATGCACGCGTGCATGCATGATACGTGCATGCAGGTCTCCATGTATTGCTGCATACATAATACATGCATGCATGACGGGGTACATCCATCCATCCATACAGACATACACACACACAGTTAATGAATTCAAGCCAACGCACACGTAAAACCACAAAACACCTGTTTCTTTGCATGGCGATGGTATCTCTATGCACCCATCTATACAGACATGCACACCCAACTGTATATATATATATATATACATCCACATATATGAACACGTAAACTCATACATGCATCAGTGTAATTAAATATATGAGGACGTATATGTGCATATATAAAATAATGTATGCATGTATGTATGTATGTATGTATGTATGTATGTATGTCTGTATGTATGTATGTAGGTATATGTACATGTATATGTATATGTATATGTATGTGTATGTGTATGTGTATGTGTATGTGTATTTGTATATATATATATATATGTATCTATGTATCAGGTCCTAAACGCCGAAATAAAAGTCCCGTGCAGAGACGTCGCTCCAAGGCCGGCCCGGTCCAAGCGGCAGCGTGAGGAGCGCCATGAAGATCTTGTCCCCGAAGCGCGGGCCCAGGAACTCCCCGTCCCCTCGGGAACTCGAGGTGGGGGGTTTAGGGTTTAGGGTTTAGGGTTAGGGTTTAGGGTTTAGGGTTTTTTGGTTTTGGGGGGGGACTCATCATTTTGGTTAGGATCTTCTCAAGGGTTTTGGGGTTTTGGGTATGGCATCTTTCTTCGGGCGATGCCGCGTGGTGCACGGTTTTGGAAGATTTGCAGTTCCTAGAACGTCTGTGGCTAGTTTTCTGCAAGAACCGGCACTCAACAATGCCATATCGGCCCTAAGCTAAGGGGCCCCTTTTGCTTGCTCATGCGAGCCATGCGGCTACAGGCGGACTAATGCAGTCCCGGAAAACCAGTGCGCTGAGCACTTTCTGCACGGACTACTGTGTCTTGAGCTAACCCTGCGCACCCTCGCTGCATTGGCAGCGGAGCAAGGTTCGAGGGCCTTGCAGGCGACTGGTCACGAAGGGCTACGCCGACCAGTTCCTCACGGTTACCAGTCCTGTGCTTCTACTGGTGTGGCCCTAGTCTTGTCATTGTGGGTGGACAGGACTAAATCCTTTCTTCAGCAAGTCCTGAAGGGATTTGCTTCCTTTTCTTGAGAGTTTTTCCTGATCAACATGTCAGATGTGCGTGATGGCAGTGTACCAACCTGGGATGGAGCGGCCCGGGGATGGAGAAGATATGCCCGGGAGGTTGCCTGGTATGTCCAATCCACACCAGCGAAGAAAAGCGGCCACTGCGCGTCGCGTCTCATGGGTCGACTCACCGGACCGGCGAGGCTGTTGGCCATGAGCTGGCAGCAAGCAGCATTCGATGCTGAAGACGGGACGGTGAAGCTGCTTCGCAGACTGGCCTCGTCGCCTCTTGTCAGGCGTTCTCTGCCAAACGCGGCGGCTATATGTCAACAATACTTTTCCTTTAGAAGGAGTGCTCATGAGAGTATCGGCAATTTCCTCGTGAGGGAGACCCTGGTTCATGAAGAGTTTGTGGAGGCCCTGATACGGCTTCACGAGGAGAAGTTGGGAATATCTCAAGCCGATCGTGACTTCGGCCTGCCACCAATAGAAGAATCCTGGAGTGACTACGAATGGGGCGATCAAGCCTGGGAAGATGGCAGCTGGTGGTACTATGAGGACGAGCTCAACAGTGAAGCTGACGGTGCTGGTGCTTCACCCGAACCCGATTCTCCCGAAGAACCTCGTTCAGGAGAAGGCGAAGCAGCAGCTGATCATCCAGGAGCCGATCCTGCCGAACGTGTCCGAGCGACCACCGGATCTTCGCCGAGTCACCGGGAGGAGGTTCAATCTCCTACATCAAGGCCTCGACGTCGCGAAGCTCCTTCTGTTGCCGCTGATGGCCCTGCGAAGGCCATCGACGAGCTCACCATTGCTGACAGCTTCATCATGGGCGTTCTTCGTGGATGGCGATTGCTGCAGGCGGCCGGGTTAACACCCGAAGAAAAACGAGACATCCTCAGCACGTCTCGCAACAGCCTGGACTACGAGGTCATTGCCCAGGCCTTGCAAGGACTGTGGGACGAACAGTTGTTGGGGAATCGACATGGTGGACCTGGCGGCCGCGACTACCAGTGCCACGCGAACTACCACGAGGAAATGGATACGTACTACTCGGAGGAACCGAACGACTGGTACCCGGAGGAGACTGGTTGGTGGGATCACCAGGGCTATGCCGCGGAGTGGGACGACGAGCCGTGGTGGACCACCCCCTACGATGATGCGTTCCCGACGACCATGGAGGAGCCCAATGAGATTGATGATGAGAAGGTGAAGGAGGCCCAACAGGCCGAGAGAGTAGCCGAACAACTGGCCATGGAAGCGAGACGCACATGGTCAGAAGCTCAGAAGGCCACTCAAGCCCTGAAGCGAGATCGAGGTTTCGGAGCCATCAGTTCGAATTCTGGTGGTGGCCGCTGCTTCAACTGCGGCGGGCCGCACTTTGCGCGAGATTGTCCCAAGGGGAAGGGCAAGTCAAAAGGCAAAAAGGGCTTCAACGGCCACTACCTCGACGACATGGACGGCTACTTCATCGGCAAGGGCAAAGGCAAGGGAAAGTCCAAGGGCAAGTATGGTCAGTGGCTGGAGGGCCAGGCTTCTTGGATGAAAGGCAAGAACAAGGGCAAGGAACCCAGTCGGACTGTGAATGCCTACAGTTCAGATCTTTTCCTGGCAGGGCTTGAAGTGGCGCCCACCATGGATCTTTCTTCGATGAGCGCATCGCGCGCTGATCCTCAAATGGGGATGCTGGATAGTGGCGCAACTGCCTCGGCCGCGCCCGAGGCGGTCGTCAAAGGACTTGTGGAAGCAGTCCTCAGCCGCGACCGTGGAGCCCGCATTGACCTGGAGCAATACTCGAGACCTTACTTTCGTTTTGGCAATGGTAAGTGGGGAAGAGCACTTGGTAGAACGACGATCACAAGTAATGTTTCAGGACATCAACGACAGTTCTCCTTGTACACTCTACCGAACCCCACCGAGTACTACGCCAGTCATTTCGACAAGTCGTCTCTTGTGCCTGTGTTAGTTGGCATGGACTTCTTGGGACCCGAAGGCATGGGGATGGCAATCGACTTTTCTACAGGACTCGCCCTAAACTCCAAGGAACAACATCCAGAAGTTTATCGACTGAGAACGAATGTTAAGGGTCACTATGTCCTGGACATCGTTGAGTTCTTAACTCAAGGCAAGGTCAATCTGGAAGGTCAAGCCCACTTGGTAGTGAGTTCCAGTCCTTCGTCGTCATCCTCAGCTGTTCTACATCAATATCTTGAATTGGGCACTGTGTGGTTTGACTTGACTGCAACTGATGCTGTATTAGATGATGCGTCGCTGTCTCAGTCAAGGTCCAGACTACTGCGTTTGCATCAGCGATCACAATCTCTGCGTGCTCAACTCCTTGATGCTGCAGCCTCGACTTCTCAAATGTGTGGTCCTGTAGTGGACCCCAGAGAATCATCAACATCCTCTTCTCGTTCCACCGGTGATGTCGCTGTCGCAGCCGACCCCGGAGCAAGTTTTGGTGACGCAGATCAAGAACAGCACGAAGCCCAAGGCGAAGGCGGCTCCGTTGGACCCGGCTCGCCGAGTGACTATGGATGTCAGAGACCCTCGAGCTCAGGAGAGTCAGTGGCCGTGCTATCAACAGCACACGGCTTCCCGAGTGCAGGCAAACGCTCACGGGGCGTGGGTGCACTGCGCGGTGTGCTTGGAGTACGTGCCCAGGAAAGGCAGCCCGGCATCCACGACAAAAACCGAGAACCCCGCCATGGTGAAGCGGATGCTAGAGCAGCTTCAAGGGATTATGGGCATGGTCAAACCAACACAGGCGATCTGCCTGGCAATGCAGAAGAAGATCGACGCGGAGGAGCAGCTGAACCACATGGTGACCGAACAGATGGCGAATCCTCAGGCTCCCAAGACGACAAAGGTACCACAAACCTCCTCAACGTCGGCAACCAGTCCCGCAAACTCCAACGGAAGCTGGCTCGTGACAACCGAGGCGGGAGAGAACATGGATCTGCCAACGGCCTATGCCAGTTCGGGCATGTGAAGCCATGTCCAAGACATGTGGCGGAGAGAGTTATGACTTTTGCCACCCTGATGACTGCCGCCACGAGTGCACTCCTTGCAGGACTACATTTGGAAGGACAAGACGGGCTGTGGGAGATATCCGGGTCACCCCACAATTGGCTGAGCGAGGCGGCTCAACGACATCAACTCCGACCCCGCAGCATCAACCTCAGCACCGGCTACGACCTCTACAAGGAGTCCACCTGGAAGCACTTGCGTGAACTACAACGACTTCATCATCCACGGCGACTCTGGTTTTCGTTGCCCTTCTCGAAGTGGTGTCCATGGAACGAGATGAACTACAACACCCCCGAGCAACGTGAGCAGCTGAAGACGTATCGAAGAAGGGAGCAGAGAATGCTATGGAATGCCAACCAGTTCATTAAGGACGCCATGAACTACGATCCGGATGTGCAAGTCTACTGGGAGTGGCCCCACATGTGCCGTGGATGGTCGCAACAAGCTCTTGGAGATCTTGGCGGCTACTTTCAAGAAAAGGGTGTCCCGTGGCAATCTTGCCGCGTCGACGGCTGCTGCTACGGTCTACTCAATGAAGATGGAACCGCCTTTGTCCAGAAACCGTGGCAGATTCGGACAACCGATGAGAACTTTCATCGACGGTTTCGTGCCAAACTATGTGCTGGCAATCATCGGCATTGTACCAAGGAAGGCCACGATCGGGGCCATCAGGCCTATTATCCGTGGAAGATGGTGCAGGCCATTGCACGACATTGGCATGATCAAGTTGTGCCTCAACGACATCTCCATCTACTTGCACTTCGACAGGACCTACCGGGCCTAGTGGATGCTGGTGACGATGGCGAGCCTACAATGGAAGAGGTTGAGGTTTTGGATTCCAATGGCGATTCCCTCAACTTCTCGGATGTCAACGATGTGATGCTCAATGAGGCCGGACGTATTACCTTGGAGACGATGGCCCGAGAGGCTCGACTACGCCAGGTTTTCACCTTCCAGAACCTCCAGATGATCTTGAATGAATTCTTCAGCGTGGCTGCGCCTTCAGCTAATGACAATCAAAGGTGGCGCCAGGCTCCCTCCTTCAACGTTGCCCTTGGGGCATATTCTCACGGGGCATTTGGCGGTATCTGCAAGTACACCAACAAGCATTTGGAGCTAGTGTGTTACATCAATGCCTTCATCCGCCACCACCAACCGCTACACCAGTGGTCCAGTCTTATGGTGAGCAAGAACAGCCGAACTCTACCACATCGTGATCATCATAATCTAGATGGCAGCTGGAACATGTTGATTGGGGTTGGCGACTACCGAGGTGGAGGACTTTGGGTCGGTGACGAATCCCCAGATGGTGGCATTGCCCGACGGGTACGACTACCCAGTGGGAAGTATCAGCCAGGCCATGTACGTGACACACGCGAGAAGTTCGTTTACTTCAGACCCCAAATTGAGCATGCCCCCGAGAGATGGACGGGAACCCGAATCACCATCTCGGCCTACACCACCAGGATGCTCCCTCATCTATCTTCCCAGGACCAGCAGGCTCTCAAGGACTTTGGGTTTTGCTTTGAGAAAACCTTGCAATCCTTCACGACTACGACCTCCAGTCCTGACGAGGCCCAGGCTACAGCTACTACCACAGAGCCTACCTCCGAGACGGATTTACCAGATGGCGTCTCGCAGAAAGAAATGGAAGCCTGGAAGGCCAAGGTTGCAAAGTTTCACAAGGCGGCCGGACACCCCACAAACCGCAATCTGGCTAAGATCATTGGAGATGCTGGCCATCCACAGTGGAAGATCGATGTAGCGTCCCACCATGAATGCCCCGCATGTCAGGCTCTACGACCTGGAGGCCCCAGCACTGGACAGGTCCCTCCAGCATCGACTCACGCATCGTTCCGAGCTTGGGAGTGCGTTGGTGTTGACACTGGTGAATGGATTCCTCCTGGGAAGAAAAAGAAGGTGAAGTTCATTCTCTTCATGGACATGGCAACAAGGCTGCGGGTGGTGCAACCTCTTTTCATCTCGGATTTCCTGGAGACTAAGATGGAGTCAGGAGATGACTTCATCAGAGTCTTCTCCGAACGCTGGCTGGGCTCCTACCCAAAACCCAAGGTTGTTGTCATGGACTCGGCAAAGAGTTTTTCGTCAACCAAGGTCAGTGAGTTCTTGGCGGACATTGGGGTGCAGTCGCACCTAGTGGCTGAGAAAGAGCCATGGGCCAATGGCATGGTGGAGGCGTGCGTCCAAGATGTGAAACATGTGGCTTCCGCCATACATCTGGAAGCTCAGGATGTGAACTTGGACGTGATTCTACATCTTGCTGCCTCTTCATTGAATTCCACAGAGTACGTCGCAGGCTATTCCTCACATCAATGGGCTTTTGGAGCAGCCTATGTCCCCACCGACGAGGACGTGCGAACCTACCACCTCGTGGAGCCCAAGGTGGACTACATGCGTCTGGTGACCGCCCGACAAAAGGCCGAGGAGATAGCGATTGCCACCAGAGCACAACGCGCTCTGAGCAAATTGGCCAACACAACTGTGCGACAACCTCTACGAGAGTTCTCACCGATGGACCTGGTCAAAGTCTGGCGAAGAGTGTGGCCGCGAGAACAACATACTGGGCCCCGAGGAGGATTCAAGAAGAGTGGGAAGCCACACTGGATTGGTCCTGGACGAGTCATCTTTTCTGAAGTACTTCCTCACCAATCTGAAGGAGATCATCGGCGACATATCGTGTGGGTCTTGATTGGTCGTCAATTACTACGGTGCTCAGTCCATTCCGTTAGACCCGTCAATGAAGTGGAACGTTTTCAGTATGAGACCACGACTACTGAGGACGCTACGACGTGGAGATCCCTAGCGGATCTACTTCCTCGACGGGAATACGAGGACATGGTGGACCAGGAGCCCAATGACGAGGAACTGGAACTACCTCAACTACCTGCTCAGCCAGATCCCTCCACAATGGTGGCTCCACCACGACGACTACGTACCAAGACCTCCAACGTTCGGTTTGAACCCTATGGAGCGCCGATACCCGGAAGTGATGAAGAACCACTCCAAGAACCACAAGCGGACAGTGATGTCAATGACTATCAGATCCCAGCCACGTCCTCTACTACAACAGTACCTCAGGAATCTGAGTCACAAGTTAGGCCACCCGATGCAAAAAGGCCAAAGACCCATGAGGTGAATTGGGTACAAGAAATGGAGGCACAGGCCATGCAGGAGGAAAACGAGTTCGATGTCTTCCAAGCCATGGAGGAAACCAATGAGTTCCTGCGCATTGAGTTTGATGTGGAAGCTCCTGCTTCCAACCGCCAACGGAAACTTTTGGATAGGAACCCCACTGCTTACATGGTCAAGAAGATGCGCGACTCTGAGGTAAAACTTTCTCGACTACAACCGCACGAAGAGAAGCTCTTCACGCGCGCCAAGGCCAAAGAGGTGGACAGTTTCATTCGCAATGAGGCTGTCCGGAAGTGTTTGGACGACAAGAAGATCGCTGAAGCATACGAGTCTGGACGGATCGTCAAGGCAAGATGGGTGTTGACGTGGAAGCCGATACCACCTGAAGACCGCGAAGAAGCACTTCGCGACGCCCAGACCAATGCCGAGACGCTTCACGACAAACGGGGACTTCGTAAGGCGAAGGCCCGCATAGTCCTGTTAGGGTTTCAACACCCGAACCTCTTGGACCCTTCCTTCAAGACATCATCGCCGGTCCAGTCTACACTGGGAAGAAACTTGCTCTACTTGATGTCTGTGACTCATCAGTGGGAACTGGAAGGTTTGGATTTGGCGACGGCCTTCCTCCAAACCATGCCTACGGAGGCCGACAGCGAGCTCTTCACCACCGGCGTGGAGGAGCTTAGAGAAGCTCTCGGGGTGGACGAAGAAGGGATCATGAAGATCCTGAGAAACATCTACGGGAGCACCACCGCTCCTCGTGGTCTGTGGCTGTCACTGCATCGCAAACTCACGGAGCTTGGCGGCATTGCAGTGTTGGGCGAGCGATGCCTATGGATATGGTTGTCCAAACACGAAATGGATCGTGGGCGGCCCCGAGTTATCGGAGCTATGGGAGGTCACGTTGACGACTTCCATCGTCTAGGTGACAAACAGAGTGACGAATGGTTGGCTGTACGCGAACAAGTGGACAAGGCCTACAAATGGGGAACGGCCAAAACTGGCCGCTATCGTCATGCCGGCACCGACATCACTACGACCAAGGACGAGCGAGGTCTGCTACAAATCACCGTCGACCAGAGCTACTACATCGACGGCATCCAGGACCTCGAGATCGACGCCGACCGTCTTCAACAAGAAGGCCCCCTACTACCACGTGAAATTGGCGCCTGCCGTACGGCACTTGGTGCTCTACAATGGATAGCTGTGCAGAGTCAACCTCAACTCTGCAGCAGGTGTAACCTCCTACTGACGGAGGTGGTTTCCAGTGGCACCCTACAATCGGCACGAGAAATACAAGCCATGATTTCGGAAATCAGGCGCGAGTCCTACAAGCTGGAGTTCTTCAAGCTGGACGGGGTGAAACACTGGTCCGACCTGGTCTTCATTTCCATGGGAGACCAGGCACACAACAACCGGGGCAAGGGGGACTCCACCGGCGGTCTACTGACACTCGTGGCAGGCCCCGAGTCTATCGATGGTCAAGTCTGTCCGATGATGCTCTTGGCATGGCGAACATGGAAACTTCGCCGAAAGGCCCTAGGCTCTAACGACGCGGAAGTCCAGTCCGTTTACGAAGCAGAGGATCAGAATTTTCGAGTGCGTCTACTTTGGACAGAAATGCATGGAGCTCGTGAACCACGACAGCTACGTGAGGACTTGGTGCAGGCATCCGAGAAACAATGCCTGCAGGTCAAGGGCATCTTGTGCACCGACTCCCGTGGTGGCTATGACGCCCTTGAGAAGAACGAGTCACCGCTGTTGGGTTTGAGCAACATGCGTGCTGCCCTACAGGCCTTTTCCCTACGAGACAACCTCGCGAGAGTGGCTTGCGAGTTGAGATGGTTGGCTTCTGACTACAACCTTTCCGATTCCATGACAAAGAAGAAGCTTGAGAGCCGTCTTGGCTTGCTGAAATTTCTTCAAACAAAGCATTGGGCCATCAAATATGACCCGAGCTTCTCCTCCGCAAAGCGGAGCAAACAGCAAGGGCACACCGCTCTTCGACATGTTGATCGACACCTACGCTCAAGAACTGGGCATTGTTGATCTTTCTTTTAGGGCTGGTGCAAGAACCGGCACTCAACAATGCCATATCGGCCCTAAGCTAAGGGGCCCCTTTTGCTTGCTCATGCGAGCCATGCGGCTACAGGCGGACTAGTGCAGTCCCGGAAAACCAGTGCGCTGAGCACTTTCTGCACGGACTACTGTGTCTTGAGCTAACCCTGCGCACCCTCGCTGCATTTTCCTTTGTTTGTGATTGTGACGACAATTCCTTTCTTCCTTGCTTCCTCCCGTCATTCTTCCCCACTCCCTTCCTTTCTTTTGGCTCTTGCTTTCTATCCTTCATCCTTTGTCGTTTGTTCAAGTAGCCATACCCCAGCCGAAAGGCAGAACAGCCACAAGCCAAGGAGGAGCAGTAGTGGTAGCCGCGTGGCGGTGGCAAGCGCAGTAGGAGTAGGAGCACGAGCAGGAGTAGGAGTAGGAGGAGAAGGAGGACGCGGAGGAGTACTAACTAGTTGTAGTCGTAGTAGTAGTAGGAGTCGTATTCGTAGTAGCAGCAGCAGCAGCAGTAACGGCAGCAGTAATAGAAAAAGTCGCCATCGTCATCGTCGTCGCAGTCAGAGCTGCAATCGTCGTCGTCCTAGTCGTGGTAGCAGTCGTCGTCATGGTAGCAGAGCGGTAGTCGCAGTAGCAGTAGCGTTAGTAAAGTAGTGATAGTCGTAGTTGGTTTCGTCGTCGCCGTAACAACAGCCGTAGCAGTAGCAGCAGTAGTAGCAACAGTAGCAGCAGGAGCAGTAGCAGTAGCACGGGTCACCTAGGACCTCCTAAACCGTCAACCCCGAGACAGAACCCAGCTTCCTAGTCTAAAAAACCTCTATCATGATGCGTCATGTCCTATCTGAGGCAGGTTCTGAAACACCAGCTAGGACTTCGGAATGTAGCTTGGTGCAGAAGCCTCGGTAACGATAAGAAGAGGATTCCTCTAAGGGTTCTTTGGGGATTTATAGGTTTGTATTGAGGGGGGGGGGCATGATGGGAATAGGGTTTCTGGGGTATTACAATCCTCGAATGAAAGGAGCACTATGGGACAATAATTGAGACCCCTGATTTTACAAACAGGTGCTTTCGCCTGCATTCCGCCAAGCTGCTGTAGTGAGTCGACATGCGGTATGACAGCAAGGTCTTCAAAGCATGCAACCTTCGTCACACTGCGGGGTCAAAGTGAGCTTCGAGCAATGCAAGGTGCGAACAAAAGAGGAAGGCAAACGTGAACGGGAATGCCCTAGCACAGCCTCAAAAGGTGCACGGCAGGCCCTTAAATGCACACCGCTGCACTCCCTCGGCCGCCTGCTTTTTCTTTTCCGTCTCGAAAACGGGCTAGAGTCTGCTACGGTCATGCGGGCTTGCCCACCCCCACTCCCTCAAAAAGAAGCCTGGAATCTCTATGCCGAGACAAAAAAACGCTCAGTTCTCATGAGTATAGACAAACAACAACCTGCCATCGATGGCAGCACGGGAAAAGCAGCAACAAGACAGCCGTCACAATAGCTGTTCGTGTGCCGCTTTTAGCTGAGACTTATCACTAGCACCAGTGGTGATATTACGAGTACTTGTAATAAAGTACGGTCAACAGTAGCAGTAGAGCTACACATCGAGGCAACAATGGTAAGTCAATCGCAGCAACGATAACACAAACGCTTAACAGAGCCACCGAAATCATGATACTTGCAATAGGCTAGTGATACGCAAGATGTCAGAACACTGCAAATAGCTACCAAGGACAACGAATAGTACTGATGGGGCTAAACCGTTAACCGCAATCAGAAGACACGTAACTCAAACCCTAAACCCTATTCAAAACTAAAACACGAAAGTCTCTGAATGCCTAGTCCCCTACATTCCTAAACCCTGAATGCCCCTAAATCCCACCCAACTCCCTCAACCTAGACTCCTTAGTATTAGTGGGATCAGTGGCTGTCCAGGTCCCGAAGTTGGCAGAGTCTTCAGCGACAGCGGCTCGGCCTCGCAGGGGCCCCAATGAGTCTCCAGGCCCTCATGGGCAGGGCTATAAATCCCACACCTAAGGCCATTTTTAAGTTTTTAAGTGTTCTAGACTCCTGGTTTTGCTTGCAAAACCTTTAGGACTTTATAGGGGTTCGGGCGATTTAGGACTTCAGAGGAGTCTCGGCTCAAATTCAACTCCTGTCTGCGCACCGCTGAACTTAAACCAACCTCAGATTTGCATGATATAGGGACATTATGAGAGCGTTTGGAAGGAATACCGAGGAAAAGGGACACTAGAAGGGCACTGTGGAGGTTACTATAAGGGATGGTGTGAGGGTTTCTTCAGGCTTACGGGCTGAGGGCGCCGAGTCCAAAGCTGCAAGCAGAAGTAGCAGCTGAAAAGTCGGCAGCTGCAAGCAAAAAAACGACATCTTGTGCCTCTTGCTCAGAACCGGCGGTCTTAACTGCTTAACTGCTAGAAGTAGTACACAGTCTTCAAACCTTCGAGTGGACGCCCAAAGCTATTTCTGAGGCCAAAGCCAACGATTATACAGGCACTGTTCCTGTGAGGTTTGTTCATCGGACAGCCGTTGCACCGAACAGCAAGAAGACCAAGCGAAGCCTTCAGCTTGGCAAAGGTCTCGTTCAGATCTTTGGAATAGGCCTTGCGAGGATGGCTTTCTGATATTGTAGCACACTCGTACATGTAGCGCAACAAGCCCCCAATCCTAGATGCCGTGGATCGCTGTGTGGGGAATGGGAACGACGCAGTCGTGAACGTCATGACCATCGTCGCAATCATGGCAACAGAAGCAGCACAACAAAACAGTCTGAAGGCTATCTAACCCACGGCCGGCCTCGCTGGCAGGGCCTCGGCTCATCGTGAGACGGTTGAAATTTGTAAAGGCTCCAGTCAGCATTGTAATCAGGAGACATGGCGGATGTTTCCAGAATCAGAGGTATTTCTGGGGCGTCGGCGACGTCGAGGCACGGACAACGCGATTGCTCCAGGTTTGGTCGCGTTTCTCCCTCCATCTAATACCTGTGGTCTGCTCTCTTGCCAGATGGGATGCTCTAGGCACCCAAACCCCAGCGCCGAACCTTTCCCTTGAGGCGCAAGTTAAATGCAGGATCCCTCAAAACTCTAGGTCAATTCCCTTCTCATGTGGCATTGCCCGCAGCTTGGAAGATCTTGGAAGCAATTCGAGCTCCAGCATCGGGGACTCAGAGAGTTTCTGAGGGCCCCTGCTTCATGTACGTTGCGTAAGTTCCACCTCACCCCGCATGCATCGGATGCGCTTAGAAGCTTCTAGTCTCGCGCACCACACACAGTTCAAAGAGCAAGACTTTCCAAGTAGGTCAATGTTGAAGACATGACTTGGCATCGTAAGTGATGCTTTAAGCAGGTCGTAAATCAGAGGCACACAGCCCACATGCCAAACAAGCCGGAAAGACTAAAGAAGCGTTGCTCAAGCGAAACTTAAACTAAACGGTAAACTCCCTCCTAGATCGAACCCATTGCATAAAGAGCCTGCCCGAAACCCCTACCAAAGCCCTTTCCTACATCCATCCTTTCCAGACGAGCTGCTCTTCAGCCAGAGCTGCGAGAAGTCAGCAGTTGCCGCAGCGCCGTCCTGCAAGCGCTTCGAAAGGACAGCCCCAACACTCCACGAGTTAGCAGAAGGCTCATAAATAAACACACACGAATACGTGGATTTGCACATCCATAGTTCACCAATAGAAATCTATGTGTGTGTGTGTGTTGTGTGTGTGAACAAGTTACCGATATACTCAGGTACCAGGATAAGTACAACTAATCCCAAAACTAAACTGTACGTTAGCAATGTATTCAAGTAGGTAGTATGCAGGTGTGTAGGTATGTACGTACGTACGTATGTATGTGTGTATGTATGTCATGTATGTGTGAATATCTAGCATGCGAACCAGAACGCAGCCATAGTCTGCTCAAATTTCGTCGCCCCACATGCTTTTTCTAACCTTTGGAACCTGCGGAAGCTTCGACGGAGCAAACGGAGATAGACGGTGACAGCTTCGGGCTTCGGGCGCGGCTCGTGGCTTAAGTTTGCAGGGTTTACATGGAGCTTTGGAGTTCAGGGTTTGTGTAATGTGCCCAGGCCATGCACAGGGAAGCCAGGGTAGTGCCGCGACAAGGATCACATCGCCAAACTTCGAAGTGGGTACCAAAGGTTATTTCAATCTCCAAGGCTCCAAGCAGGACTCAAATGCAGAAAGCAGCCATCGGGGTAGATACTGATGTGCTTATATGACAGGGACCGGGGGATAGACTGACGCATTATTCAGGCCCCTTGTCCAAAATCTGTCAAGAGCCCTCCTTCCCCCCCGCCCACCCCATTGTCAGGCAGCCTCTGCACCATCTGCATCTGTGAGTGAGCCAGTAGCACCACTCGTGGTGTCCACCAGCCAATCCTGTGAATTGTTTGGATTTTAGGGCTCAGGGTCCTCTGCTTTGTCAGTGGCCCATCATAGCAGCCTTTTGGTAAACGTCTCCTTAATGTCGATTGAAACGGGCTGATCGCCGTCAAGACATGCAGGCTGATGCCATCCATCTTGCCCGGACATCTAGCAGTTGGCATAGGCTTCCGTAAGCGTACCCCTGTGGGAACAGCTACAACGCCAGGCAAGTCCAGGCACTAATTGAAATGCAAGTCAAGTCACTGGCAGGGAATAGCCTTGCCTGGGCTGAAGACCAACACAGGAGCCACTAGGCAAAAGACTGTATTTCTGGGAGTTTCAATCAGATCCTTACGAAACAGACCCCATTGTACTTTTAATTACACCCTAAACCCTAAGCTTCTTTGTAGTTTTACGAGGGCCCCAATTCCTTAGAAGACTCGGCCGTGGAGCTCTTCCGGGAAAGGATAGCCGCAGTGGACGAAGTGCGATTTCACGTCAGCCACCTGCACCAGAGCGAGGTTCCACAGAACACGACATGACATGATAGTTTATTTTATACTATACTATATAGTAGCATACTATATTGTAGGCAGCATGCCAAAGTT